TGTCTCTGTATGTTTTGGATCTACGCCATGTGAGACAGGAGAAAGTTGAACCCATGCTGCTGAGACCGTTTGAACTCAGACTTTCTAACCTTTGTTTCTTACCTTAATGCAGCCCCAGCATGTTTAAAGTCAGGGTCAGTTAATTGAAATATGACCAACAGAACTGTATTTTACTTTAACTTTTACCTGTGTGCTGTTTTTATGTTTCTGTGCTCAGTTTTAGACAACAACCTAGATGTTTCAGTTTGGAAACACTGCAGTACTATGGTGATGAATAGAGTTATTTGTGGTATGTTTGTATTAGCTTTGCGTCAAAAGGCTCTTTGACAAAGAGTTTGTTAGTTTTGGTTACTGGGAATTTTTAAAGCAGACTGATAACTTTTCACTAAAATATATTTTGCTTATGTCACAGTTCAGATGGAAGAATGACATAATAATGAAAAAAACTTCTCTATTATTAAGGCTTAAAGTAGGTTGTTTTGTAATGGCTGCAAAAAACGGAAGAAGAAACAATTGAAAACGACGCCCCTTTTTGAACCTTTGTTTTCATCTGCCTCTAACGCGCATGTGTTTGTTGTATTTTTAGACCGTAATCACAGGCAGGAGCGGCAGGTGATGCTGAAGCTGAAGGAGGTGGTGGACAAGCAGAGAGATGAGCTGAGGGCTAAAGTCCAGGAGATCGCTACAGTCTCCAAAGAGGTGGAGGCGGTAAGACACAGATCTCACTGATTACAGGCTGACAGATTTTTATCGAAGGACGAAGAAAGGCCTGAAAGAGCAGCCAAAGTGCAACAAAAAAAGTTTTGAAGCACCATCAATAATGATAGAGATCAGTTTAAAACACCAGAGGAAGGTCTGGTTCCCTCATAGTAAAGCATACATTCACAAATGTTTTATGAGACTAGTTAGTAAAATGTGGGCACTGGATGAGGGAGGGTATGTGTATGGTTATAAAAAAGATTGATCTGTTGCTGGTAGCAGATTTCAGGCATGTCTAGGCGTAGTTTTCACCCACACAGTTTCTCTGTGTGTCTGTGTGTGTATATACATATTCTGAAATGATTGCTTGCATGTGTCTCTGCGTCTGTCGGGACACACTCATCACATGATTTATACAGCAGCCAAATATGGGTGTGTTTGTTAATGCTTAACTTGTTGCTCCCAATCAGTCGACATAAAGGATAAGAAAAAACAAAAAACAAAAAAGAAAACCTTAAATGTCAATCTCACGGAGTTTAGCTCATGACGTTTTCTGCTGATTTTATCTCAGTGTTTTTAAAATAGTTGTCCTTTAAACTGAATGCATCTGTTTGGACATTGTATGGTTTATGGGTTAACCTGGTGCTTCAAGCAGGGATTATGTTTAAATGTCATCTACATAGTTGAGCTATGAAATTTCCCCCATGCAGTCACAGCTCAGGATTATTCTGGAATAATTTAATTCCACTATTCCCTAATTCCAGTATTTGGGGAATGTCCTACTGTCCTACTTTTCTACTTGTTTCTGTTCTGCCATCTTTCTCTGTTTCCTAAGTCCTTCCTTCCTTCCTTCCTTTCTTCCTTCCTAGAAAACTGGTTGTTCTCAGAGAGAAAAGCAAACACCTGTGCGATTGTTCAGGTTGTCCTTTCACACCGGCATGTGTGTTCATGTCTCTGCAGCTCCAGGAGCAGTTGGACCGCTTCATGAAAATGAACGCAGAGCTGCGGCACAAGCAGAATGTGCTTCAGACGCAGCTGACGAGCATCGTGGAGAGGAAGGCCGACTTGGAGACCGACCTTAAGGAGAAAAACAAGGAGATAGAACGGCTCCAAACACAGCTGAATAGCGTCAATGGGCACAGCCCTGTATGTCGTCCTCTTACGTAATATTATTCAAGTTTTTATATGTTATAGTAAAAAAAAGACAGTTTAGGTGTTATGTCGAGAGCTTTGTTGGAATAACATCAGTGTGTTGGTTAAAAAGAGTGAGCCAAACCCCAAAATCAATATAATGGGTTTTATTTTCATACATGCAGATTTGTTGTGAAGAATTAATTCTTCATTTATTTCAAATTATTAGTAAAGTTGAAATTTGAGCGTTTAACTGTAGAAAATAAAGTCAAATTCCTTTTTTTGTGCACATGATATTGGCTAAAAAGCTGATTCTGACCCTGATTTCGGAAAAAATAAAACAGTTTTTAATAATCAGGAAAATGGAATATTAAGCAGTTTCAAAAACATTTACTGTGTGCACTTCACTTATCAGTCAAAGGCTTCTCCTGAAAAAACTATGACACCATTTATCTGTTTCCTGTGGAGAATTTCAACCTCTTATTAAAACTATTTTGGCCTGAGTTAGACATCTTCTAATTGCTTCAGCACTCATGATGCCTGTAAACCTTGCTTCCTTCTTCAGTCCATTCACTTAATAGTTTTATGTTATGTCTGATGTAACTAGGTCACATTTGTGTTATTGTTGATTTAGGAAAAATAATTTTAAACAAGAAAAAAGATTAAAGTTCTAAAAACTTTCTTAGACATAAAACAGCAGAGGAAGGAAGAGAGTCTAGGTAAAATTAACATCTATCTTCTTTGGATTTGATTACTTATTTTATGATATATTTATTGAGTCTCTTTCATCCCATCAGCCCAGTCCGCACCAAACAGTACAGTCGACAAAAAAGTCGACCCAACAGCCAACCACTGAGAAGAACGACCCCGATCAGCCATGCTTCACAAAGAAAGAGGTGCGGGACATTTTGTTTGAGAGGAACGAGCTGAAAACCAACCTCTTCCTGGTGCAGGAGGAGCTCAACTACTATCAGCGGTGGGTCTAAAAAAAGACATTAACGAACATAGGTGTTGAATTTATGTGAAGCAGAAATCAGAACTGTCTTTTTTTTATTGCAGGGAAATTTTAAATGAGGAGAGGTGCCCAGGCTTTCTTCTGGAAGCGGTCCGGTCAGCGATCAAAAAGCGAAGGAAGCTGATAAAGGCAAAGATGCTGGGGATTCCTCTGAGTGACTGCAGCATCAGGTATCTCTCATCCCTCTTTTGCAAAAACAAACACTAAATGTGTTTAGGTAAGAATGTGGGGTGTTTGTTTTGTCTTCAGTGACGAGGAAGAGACAAGTTCTCTGTACGGGCAGACAGAAGTGGACGGCTCAGAGGTGGACGGACCGACCAAACCAGCCGAGTCACGCATTCGAAACCTGTAAGTGAGAAACAATCTGCAAAAACAAAACAAAAACAAAAAAAAATCTCACAATTTTCACAGTGAGCTGCAAACGCATTCACATCTGTAGAACTTATCTATCTTTTGATTAGCATGAACTCTGATATCGCTAAAGGAAACCTTTTTAAAGTGTGACAAAATTTGATAAAAGTTCAAGTTGATGTATTTTTAATGTGACTTTGCAACGGTAAGAATGCAAAGAAATAAAATGCATTCCCCCTAAAAGACACAGCGACATGATCTTCACCAGCTCCACTCTTCTAATGATTGGCCAATCCAGGTCTATATTTAGCTGTAATCCCTGACTGCGTGTCCTGACCTGAGGCATGTGTCTCTCTCTCTCTCTGTCCTGCTGCAGCTTCGGCTTTCTGACGCGTTCAGGCAGCAGCAGGAGTCCCACCCAAATGAGCAGCTCTCCCTCCAGCTGGGAAATCCTGGACGAATCCGAGGCGAGCGAAGAGCCAGAGCAACAGCTGGCTTCTTAACTCTGCATTGAGATTACGTCGTGCTCTTCAGCCACTCCTGTTCTCATTCTGAAGCTCGTTGCACAGACTGGGAACTTTAAGGCATTTCTAACGCAAAGGTCTAATAGCAAGCCATTGACTTTCTCACTTTGCAGTTCTGTTTCAATTTTGCTCAGTCGGAGCTTCAACATTGCACAAACGGTACAGAGTATACAGCAGGAGGCACTTTTGGAATCCCTATTTTTTATGGTTCAGAAATTAAAACAATCAGCGGGATATAAATATATTTGTTTTAAAAACATTTAAATGTTTTAGATTTTGAGAAATATACCGTATTATATTTTTATATATTTATCATCTGATTTTTTTGTTTTTGTTTTTGCTATAACCAAAGAAAAGAGCATTTAATGTTAGTAAATTAACATCCAGATAGTCCAATATAATGGAGGGATTGTGTTTTTTTAGTATGGTCGAAGGTGTCAGAGGAAGTTCTCATCTGTTCCACATGGGGGCATTTTTTATAAAAGGTGAATACAGGTTGTCCTTAACCCTCTGTTAGAGTTTAGAGTTTACTTTAGTACTTTTCAGTATTTTAAGCACTTTTATCCATAGGGAAGATTCTACTCCTTACGCCTTAATTAACCATTTACATTATTACAGATGCCTTTTCCTACGCAGTCATTAATTATCTAAACTGAACAACAGTATAGCCTGCTGTGTTTTTTTTTAACATTGAAGCCATATTAATCTGTGATTGGCTGTCCTTCTTGTCAAGATTTTATGCATATTTTCAAACAAGCCTGTTCCAGCCAACATGATGTCACTGCTCTTCCCCTCCTCTAAATGCACTACTCAGAGGGTTAATGTCTTTGAGGGACACTGAGTGAACCACCCCTGAAATAAATGTTTGGAGTTTATTTCTTGTAACGATTATTTCAGGAGGAATTAACGATTTGGATGTTAAGTGACTGCAAAATTCAGTTTTTCAATAAAAAAATCATGCACTGAAAAACTGAAATTGCTTTATCTGCGTCTTTTGTTCTTTGTGAAGACTGAGCACTTTTTAAATGAAATGTAGTCGCCATGACTAAAGATGTCTTCATCATCTCCAGGAAGGCAATGGATTCTGGGAAAAGGTGAACCCCATCATGTGTGTATGTGTTTGAATCATTCTTTTAAAAGCCCTGCGTCTGGCATGAATAGAAGGAAATGGCTCCGACTTCCCGAGGAAACGTGGAGAGGAAACTTTGGGGGGGGGGGTGCTTTGACCTCTATGGCTGCACCGGAGCCACAAGAAGACTCACCGGACAGGGAAGCAGGCAGGCAGGGAGAGAGGGAAGGGTGGAGGGTGAGTAGAGAAGTGAGGCAGAAAGATATTTGTTCCCAGACGCAGGAGTTTTTTAGCACTGGGTTCTGAGTGAAGATGAGGTTTCTCCGAGCTCTGAGCGTTCTGCTCTGCTGCTCCCTGTCCTCTGCACAGACACTGGATCCTGGTGGGAGAAATGTTTGCAAGGATTCAAGGTAGGCTTCACCTGTTTCATCCCTCCTTGTTTTACAGGGGAGCAGCACATATCTGTAGGAGGCTGTGCCGTTTTCGGCATTACTGACTAACTTAGAAAAGTAGAGAAAGTTAAGAATTTAAGAGCCATAAAGAAAGTATTCCCTAAACTTTTTTATCCATTTATTTCCACAAAGCTGGGTCTTACACTGTTATAACCTGAAAACAGGCTTGTTTAGCCCCATTTCTTTTTTCTGTAAATTTTTTTATTTTATGAGGCTTTTTTTATCATATCACAAATATTCAGGGACTCCTCTACACTGTTGTGTTGCACTGGATGGCGCCAGCAGGGAAAAGAGTGCACTATAGGTGAGCCTGTGTGACCTTAAGCTGGGTCTTAACCTTCTAGGTTGGGTTGGTTCGTTCTTTATGTTTCTGCTGTCTGTGTTTTTGTCTTCAGCTCTCTGTGAAGGTGAACAAATGTGTCTTGAGAATGAGATCTGTGTGTTTCCTGGAGTATGCCGCTGCCCACCTGGGTACTATGGAGCTCAGTGTAAAACACGTGAGTTGCTACAAAAAGCAGCAGATGTTTGGTACCTTTTTAACAATATGGTAGAGGTTGCGATGAAGAAAGGACAAATGCTGTCAGAAATGAAGAGATATGTAATAGTAAAAGTGTAATGTGTGTTTAATTGCATAAAATCAATGGTGAAATCATTTATATGACCACAAAGTAAAATCAAACACCTTAAATTACCTGTGATGGTGGTGTATGTTGAAAGTACAGTTTTATTTCAACAGTTATTTAATCCAATTTTATAGAGTTCCATATGTATGAGGTGCCTAAAATATGTATATGTGTCTATGTAAATTTTTACTTGAAGTTAAAACAGAAGGGGTGAGTCAATATATATATAAAGAGTGGAATAATTCAAAATAAGATTAATGGAATAAATTATTAATAGATTATTTGGACCGGAAAAGAAAAATCACAGAGGAAACAACTCTTTCCCCCCCCCATCTTCTTATATGAAAATAAAGCCTAAATTGGCTGTCGCTAGGTATATTTTACAGTTTGACACTGGGATATTTTATCGCATTTTGAGGGTTCAGAAGTATATTTATATATATGGAGTCAGCACCACTTTAACAGCTGACTGTTAAAGTGGGGTAGTGGAGTACAAAGTAGTAAATTGTAATACATTCAATAAGAGTGAAATCAAAATGAGATAAAAACAAATTTGAAGTCCCAGAGACATAAAGAAGCTTTACTCTATATTTGGTCAAAAATGTAGTGTCATTATTAAATTTATTGGTCAATAAGTAAAAATTAAATGCATTAATGATAAAAAAAAAACACTTGCACCTAAAATAGATATAAGGAAATTATTTATTCCACTTAAACTGACATAAGCAAGACATTTCACCCAGTCAGGATTAGAAAAACAGATGAGGTCGCCATGTGAAAGATTTAGGCCTCTACATTTATTGCATATTTCACTGCCATCGTCATTCCCCCATTATTTATGAGGTGATTTGAACCAGACTCAAGTCCCAGATTTGGTTACTTTAGATTTAATTTGGTCAAATTAGAAAAGATTGACCACTTGACTGACTTGAGTACTAATATCTTTTGACTTGATTTGGGTTCTATTGTCTTTACTTCAAATGTTGTGATGGTCTCATTAAAGCAAAAGAAAAATATTCCACCACCAAGTTGAAAATAAAATATTGATCCTGAATGTTTGCTTCCTCAGTTCAATAATGAATCAGGGGTTACTCATTATAATTTGCTAAATCCTTGTGTAGAACTTGGACTGGACTTCAAACTTGTTAGTGTTTTCTTAAAGGTATTGTGGAGGATTTATACGAATTTTTCAAAAGACCCCACCCTCTCTACTTTAAAAAAAAAAAATGCACATGCACAACCCTGTACCCGCTCCCGTGAGGGAACGCCTATTAAACTCGTGCGAGATCATGCACGAGCCCATTTCTCCTCGAGGCGGTGCGGGGAACCCAATGATAAGACGGTCGCTTGGAAGGATCTCATCTCACCAACATTTGCATATAAAAAAAGCTTTCCCTCAAATAAGACTACTGGTAGATTAAAAAATCATGACATGCTTGTAATTGTGTGTGTGTGTGTTAGGCAGTGAGAAGTTGAATGTGTTTAAGGGCTAAATAAGGATCTGTGTTCACCGTATAACTTCTAACGATGCAAATTATAAAATAAAAACTTATTATCCCAGGAATATTACAATATAGAGGTAGATAACTTTTACCAGCAGTGTTGTGAAATAGATTTTTCCAAATAGCATGCCAAACTTTACCTGTCGAGTAGAAACTTTGAAACCACGGCATCAGTGGGAAGCCCGACCTGTGCTTTTATTGTACGCCATCATTTAAAAGAATCTCTGGTCTTGTTTCTCTCTTCTGAGGCCTTTCTTTTCTTCTCATACACTTCGTAGAAAATTTTTCTCTTACGACCCTTAGCCATTTTCAAAGAACCGTGGTGCGCATGCACAGAAAAAGATAGCTGACTGGGGACGAGCACGTACGTCAACATATCACCAGAATGATTGACAATTAGAGGATCATTTATCTTGATGATCCATCTGATAAAGAACATCCTCCACTATACTTTTAGGATTTGAATATAAAGAATTGAGGCATTGAGACCTGATGGATAAAATGACTTGTTACTATTCTGCAGAAAAGTTGCAACTCAAAGCTGTAAAAGCAACTTTTTGTATAAACTTTATTGTCAAATTGACTTTAGATATTGAAAGGTTGGTTTTCATGTAGTCATACCTGATACACAGCAAACTCTTGGTTCATAATGTTAAATGTCAATATTTGACCCATAAACCATCCATTTATTTTAACACTGAAATATTCAGTTTATTTTTGGGAAAAACCTTCAAACGTGATGAAATATGGATGCTGTAAAAAGGTTTGTAAATAATCCCTGATCTGTTTTGTTGTGAACATGAGGCTGTCCTCCTGAGTTCTGGGCGTCAGACTGCCGTCAGGTGTGTCCATGCTACCCTCATGGCCACTGTAATGCTGTCACCGGCGAGTGTACATGCAACCCCACCCGCTGGGGCCCGCTTTGCCAGAACACCTGCAAGTGCACTCGCAATGGCCACTGCCACCCCGTCATGGGAAACTGCATCTGCGATGAAGGCTGGTGGTCCCCGACCTGCTCCAAACCATGCCAATGCTCCAGCATTGGATCTCTGGGCTCCAGCTGTGACCCGCTAACAGGCCGCTGCCAGTGTCGCAGGGGATACTGGGGGATTAGATGTCAGGCCAGTTGCAACTGTAACCAGTCTCCATGTAATGAGCGGACCGGCGTGTGCGAATGTGAGGCGGGCTCCTGGGGATCCAGCTGTGACAGGAAATGTAACTGTGACCTGCTGCACAGCAGCTGTGACCCGGTGTCTGGGCAGTGCCTCTGCCAACCAGGTTATACAGGGGTTTCATGCAACCACCCTTGTAAAGCTGGGGACTATGGCAGCAGCTGTAATATGAGGTAAATGATTATTTTAAGCCTGTTTGTTTCCATGTTAGACATGTCATAACTCCAACTCCTGCCTCTAGATGTGGCCACTGTAAAGACAACCAGCCATGTTCGTCCACTGATGGTGCCTGTGCTGCCTGTGAACCCGGCTGGAACGGCACGCGGTGTGACCGCCCCTGCGCCTCTGGGTGGTACGGTGATGGCTGCAGGGATAAGTGCCCAAAGTGCTGGAATAATGAACCCTGTGATCCAATAACAGGGAAATGTTTGAGATGTGACCCTGGAAGGACGGGAGCCAGGTATAAAAGGGTTTCTGAACTAAAATCAAATTCAGGGCCTTTCATATTGGAGAATAAAAACATTTTCTTATGCATTGGGGTTTTTATATCTTCTCGTGTTTGATATAGTGGGAAAGTGACATATTACGGTTTACCTTTACACAATAACAGTAAAAAAATAAGATTAAAGAATTATTAGTAGCAGACCGACCATAGCAAGAGCGTTTACCCTGGATTTTTTAATTTTTATTTTTGTTCTTTTTAAATGGACCAATACAAATTTGAAGTTAAATATAATCTTCACTAATAAAAATCCAACAAGAGGCAAATAGAGACAAGAAAGGTTTAAAAAAGATAAGCTGACCACCAGTGGTTATAGTAACTAGGAGAGAACGAAGAGTCATTCGTATTTTTACAGATTTTAGAGATCCACACTGAAAAGATTATTTTAAAAATGAATATATTGTGGCATACATAGCAGATTATTATTTCAAAGGTACCACAACACCCAGTAAATCCTAAATATAAAGCCGTTTTTCTTGTTTTTTTGTGGGTCCAGCCCCCAATGTTCTGGGGGTTCAGCCTGTGACTTTCAAAAGTGTACCTGATAATAAAAATAAAAAAACTTCACCAATTAATCTCACAGTTTTAGTGGTACATTTAATTATACAATGGTATAATTAATTATTTTTTGCACTTCATTACTTGCAATTAGAATAATGACATGATAAAGTATGAAACAATTCAATGATACCTTTAAGAATCTAAACAGAATTTTAATGTTAAATTTTATTTATTTCACTCAACATTTATCTATTATTTTAATAGGACATTCTTATTCATTCATTATACAATGCACTTATTTAACTTATTTTGTACCTCTTTGGTCTACATACACCAGGGTCACATAATGATGATCTTGAAATCCTCCTCCCTAAATTGGTGTCTCATTACACCCTGTTGGTTCCTTTAATTCAATTTTTTTTTTTACCTCTGCTCTAATGCTGTCTAAGAAAGAGAGGGAATTACAAACAAGTGGACTCTTTTAATACTGAAAGCTCTTCTCTAGGCAATTTGTTGCCCAGGATTTAATTAATGTTGGCAGAATTAAAGAAGCTGAAAATTAGAATATTAACCAATTTTCTTCCCTTTAATTAGACTGTACCTTCGTTCTTCTGTCATCTAGAATCCCACAAATATAGTGAGGTTTTTTGTTGGAATATAAAAAAATACTTGAGGGGAATTAATATTATTTTCACTTGAATAACAGGGGTTTTTGTTTTTGGTTTTTTTTTCGAAAATGATGGTGGCTGCATCTGCTTTATTGCAATAAAACAGTTTAGAAATGCACATTACTAGCATATACAGTCTGAATGAATGCTATCTATATAATTAGCTCTATTTATTGCATGTTAGACAGTTCTTTGCACTAGTGATATTAAGTACTGTACTTCTGTGCTAACAATAAATTAGTGCTATATTGTGCATCCCTAATGGACATGCAGCTTTGTCTGCCTGTTGTAGACAGTAGAGAATATGAAGTTATATTCTAGATCTTAACTTTGTTCTACTTATGACCCCACCAGGTGTGAGGAGCTCTGCTCTGATGGGAGATATGGAGACGGCTGCCACTTCCTGTGCAGTCAGTGCTTTCAGGGCAAATGCCATCATGTGACAGGAAGATGTGTCTGTAGCCCTGGTTTCCAAGGAGACAGGTAAGCTGTCAGACCTGAATATAGATTTTTTTGCTTTTTTAGAAATAAAGAAATGACTTCACAAACTCACACACAGTGCAACACAATCATCCACACTCATGTTTATTTTGTCTTTTTAATCGCTAACAACATACCAGGGGCTTATTAATACCTTTTTTGGATAATGAAGCCAATATTTGATTAACCTGAAAATAGATTTGAACCATCGATCAATGTTAAAAGCACAGGTCAAATAACTGGATCAGTAACGGTTTCGAAATGGAGCCCTGGACGAGTCCCTTCAACCAATTCTGGAGACTTGATTAACTCATCTACTCATGTTAATGGATCAGTTAACAGATAAGATATTCATTTTTAATCTAGTACTTCTTCTAAACCCTACCACATGTTGCCCTGGGTGATTTGTCATATTGTCACTCCAACCCAACAATATCTCTGGTTTTTATGTTTGGCAACATGTCCATCAGTATATGCAAATCAGTAATAGCTCCATTGCAAGATCAAGGATTATTCTAATCTAAAAATGAACAAAGGATGAATTTTTTCTTTTCTGTTGGTAGAATATTCTCTATCACTGTGTATATTTAGGTGGTTTAGAATAAATGAACTATCATAAATTGGCAAACTGATATCTGATCTGACTACTGAAACGCAGTTAGTTCATTAAAGAGTTACAGAAAACATTTTTTAATTTCACCTGTCAGATGCACTAGAGTGAAACAAGTCGACTATAATGACAAAGGAAATTGATACATCATTTCTGTTACTAATGGAGCTCTTATTACTACAGGAAGTTCTTCCTCACTATCGTTTATAAATTGATCAATTTATCATTTTCATTTACATTTTTTCTGTTTTAGCACAAAAGTATTTCCAAAGACGGTGATGCTTAGCAGCCAAATGCTCCAAATGTACCAAAACAAACTCCACTGCTGTAGACTTAAGATTATCTTATAAAATATGTTTTTTTTGTGCAGTTTATTAAATCACATTCTACTTTATCATCAAAATATGCAATACTTATTTATCTCAAAGTTTAAACTTCTGGAGAAGCAGGCAACATTGGATTACATTCACTTCATTTCTTCCTATAACAATAATTATCATTATCACATTAGTTTTTGGTTTTAATCATGTTTGGTCATTCAACAATCTCTGAATTTAGAGACATTTATGAATTTAAGACATATTGCTGTGATTTCTGATTTCCAGCTGTAACAGCACCTGTCCCGCTATGATGTTTGGGGCCAACTGCTCGTCCCTCTGTGACTGTGGAGAGGGAGTCAGCTGCAACGCCGTCACAGGGGCCTGTCCCTCCAGTATGTAAAGCTACTCACAGCATCTTTCTTTGGTTTGCCTTTGAGCCTAAAGGTCAACTCTTTTGTTCATGCAGGCGGTAGAGGGGCTGTGCTTGCAGGCGTGCTGGTTCCTTTGTTCCTGCTGTTTGTTGCTGTGCTGTGCTGCTGCCTGTGTTGTGGAGGAGGTCCTACTGATGGAAAAAACAGGTTTCTTCCCCACTGGCATTCACAAATATTACATATTTGCATTGTTTTACTGGATTTTTTGCCATCAGGGTCTAAGACTTTTAACAAAAGGATGCA